TACCTGGAGGGCTCCCCTTTCCAATTCTCAACTTAAGAAATAGTGATTAAATTTCCCAAGTTGAGTCACAAAAGTTGTTTTAAGTCTTATCTCCTTTTCCACCTGCAAAGTACACCATGGTCTAAAAGTATCAACCTTCTCTCTCCCCATTCTCTGTTCTTTTCACACAGACGATCTCAGCTAGAGAAAGAGGAAAGCAATTCATTTAGCTAAATCATAAAACATGTGAATAACTGACAGCTATAAACACGATTCCCTCTCCTCAACTCCTCCAAGTCTCTAGCCTCCAAGTAAGCATTATTTGAGCAATTTAAGAAATCAAAATTTAAAACATTTAAGGATGGCAAAGGGTGCCTGGAAGTGATGTTTTAGGTGTCCAACCTTTTTTTTTCTCTGCCACACACTGGAAAAATCAGTTGCCCTGAGCCATACATTAATTACATAAAAACTAAGGAATGCTAATAAAAAAAAAGAAAAGAGGTCTGTGGATACTTTTCATGATATCTTATGCCACAGATAAGCAAAAAAAAGTCCACACAAAATTAACATTTGGCCCACAGGCCACAGGTTGGACACCCCTGTTGGAGCAAGAATGCCACCAAGTCACACGGTATTGAATAGTGGTATGCCCTAGACTCAACTTTCCTGAATTATTCCTGCTTTTTCCAGGATCATACATTTAAAAATTCAACAATTAACTAGCATACTTTTTAAATTAGGAATTTATGAACCATCAGAATCACCACCCTAGACTTACAAAATCAAAATCTCTGGGGCTAGGATCCAGGTAAGTTATTTCCAAAGTGATTCTTTTTTTTTGAGACAGAGTCTCACTTGGTCACCCTGGGTATAGTGCTATGACATCATAGCTCACAGCAACCCCAATCTCTTGGGTTCAAGCCATCCTTTTGCCTTAGCCTCTCAAGCAGCTGAGACTACAGGTGCCTGCCATAATGCCCTGCTAATTTTTAGAGATGGAGTGTCACTCTTGTTCAGGCTGATCTCGAACTCATGAACTCAGGCAATTGATCCAAAGTGATTTTTTTTTTTTTTGCAGTTTTTAGCCGGGGCTGGGTTTGAACCTGCCACCTCTGGCATATGGGACCGGTACCCTACTCCTTTGAGCAACAGGCGCCACCCTAAAGTGATTCTTTTTTTTTTTTTTCTTTTTGGCCAGGGCTGGGTTTGAACCCATCACCTCCGGCATATGGGGCCAACGCCTTACTCCTTGGAGCCACAGGCGCCACCCCCTAAAGTGATTCTTATACACATTTAAGTTCAATACTTGCTCTAAAAAGTTCAACAAGATGGATGGGCTACCACTTAAGGTATAGATAATGTGTGAGATAGAGACTACATTTGTATTATGAAGACATCACTGTCACTGAGTTTACTAGTCAGAACTAAATAGTGAACGTTTGCATATCTGAAACTCACTCCTGGTACATTACTTTATTAAATATGTGAGCTATGTGCAGAATATATGTTATACAACACCAAAAGAGTAAAAATGGCAGACATCACAAAGTAATGGTGCTAATATACTAAATACTAATATTCAAACAGTCTCACTAATATACTAATATTCAAAGTAAGTAGATTTTATTTTCCATGCATTGAGGAAAAGTGTTTCTAGTCTTGAAAATAAAAGGTTGAATTTCAGCTAATGAACATAGATTGGGCTTGATGCCTATAGCTCAGCAGCTAGGGCACTGGCCACATACACTGAGGCTGGCAGGTTCAAACCAGCATGGGCCTGCTAAACAACAATGATAACTGCAACCAAAAAATAGCTAGGTGACTTGGCGCCCCTAGCACAGTGGTTACAGCACCAGCCACATACACTGAAGTTGGCAGGTTCGAACCTAGCCTGGGCCAGCTAACCAACAATGACAGCTGCAACAAAAAATAGCTGGGCGTTGTGGCAGGTGCCTGTGGTCCCGGTTGCTTGGGAGGCTGAGGCAAGAGAATCGCTTAAGCCCAGGAGTTTGAGGTTGCTGTGAGCTTTGATGCCATAGCACTGCACCAAGGGCGACATAGTAAGACTCTCTCTCAAAAAAAAAAAAAAATGTGCAGCACCTGTGGCTCAAAGGAGTAGGGCGCCGGCCCCATATACTGGAAGTGGAGGATTCAAACCCAGCCCCGGCCA